AGGCTGAGAAGAAATGTTTCTTTCACAGCACATTACCAGCAATCACAGTCTTTCTTTCTTCTTTATATCTAAAGAAATCCTCGCTATTGCCAGGGCCAGAGGTCACCGCTTTCCTTTCTGCTGCTCTCACTGCCACATCTGCTCGGCTTCTCCTCTTCCAGAGCTCTGAAGTTTGTAACAGGTTGGGGATTTTTTCTCCTTATCTTCAGCTGAACACTTGGGATTCGATTTTTTTCCTTTATACTTCCTTTCAAGAGCCCTGCAAACACGACTCCAGACTCTGGGACCGTTTGGGGACCATCCATCTCCTGAACCCTGTGAGTCTGGCCAGGTTCTGCTCTACCAGAAGTAACACAAGGTCATATTTTAAGTCCATAGCAAATTATTACCGGAAAATGACCCTGCAGCCATGAATTTCCCAGGTAATCCAACTGCTGCTCTTGCATTGCTTTTAAATGAGTTGCCTTTTAATTCCATCAAGCGCTCGCTTGATCTCACAGCACAGGGAAGGATAAATATTGCTCCTACTCCAGGAAACAAAGTGGCTTTGGCTGGGAAAATATGCCGTGGGGAAAAATTGGTCTGGCCTGGCTGTTATGGATAACACAGGTGGAGAGGGAACGGGGAAGGCTCTGTCAGGGGCTGCTCCCCTGCACGCCAGAGCCTCTCCTGGTGACTCATCCCTGGTGAGGGATGACTGAGGACTGACAGGGGAAGCCGATCTCCATTAAACCCAAATCATTTGTCACTGTGCAAGGAGCAGTGACAAGGAGGACAATTAGTGCGAGCGGGAGGTGATGTTTATGATGTGGAGCCTGCCCATTAGCCAAGTGTTTATCACTGGCTGTTTGCCCATCCCTGAAGGGCAATGGGGGAGCTTGGTGGGGTCAGGGAAAGGCCTTGCCATCCTTCTCCAGAGCCTCAGCTTTCATTAAAAAGATCATAAAAGTAGAATAATAAAACAGTTCTCTGCTGTCACTTGTGGCAAAGCCATCCTGAAGCAGCTGATGCCACCTGGGTTTGCAGAGAGCTTGGACCAGGATTTCCCAGATGAGGAGAGCCAGAGCCTGGGGTGGGCAGGGGATGCCCCGTTGGTTGGTGGGGAGGCAGTCACTGGATTCTGCAGCTGTAGCCACCAAAGAGCCATGGCACCATCACTGCTTGTAACGCTCTGGCAGCACGGGGCACAGGAGGGGTTTAATTTCTTTAAGTGCAGCCTCATTTTGCAGATTTGGCTCAGAAAATGGGATTTATCCAAAGCAGAACAAAACCACGGGGTTACCACAAGGAAGAACTGTGAGAGCACACGGCACCTCCTTCCTCCCCAGGAGCCTCGGGCCACTTCCCCCCGCAGGCCAACGCTGGCCTCGGCCCCCTTCCCTTCGAGGAGCAGAGCTGCCCACGTTTGGCACAAGCTGGCATCCTGCCCAGCCTGGATTTCCCGGTGGGGCCGAGGCACAGAGCTGCAGTTCCCAGAGACGTGTCCCATTTTCTGCTTTCTGCTCCGGCAGAGCCGGGGAGCCCGCGGAGAGAACGCGTTCCCTGCCCAGAGCCCGGCGCTGGGCTCCTGCCGGTGTGTGCCGAACCGGGGGGTGGATGTGGGAGCTTGGATCAGCACCATGAGCGCTCAAACAGCTGCTCTGGATACAGAAGTGGGTCACACACGGGGCTGTGCCGGCACAAGGAGAGGGGCAGGCCAGGACCCAGGAGGGAGGGATGGGATGGGATGGGATGGGATGGGATGGGATGGGATGGGTTGGGATGGGATGGGATGGGATGGGATGGGCACGGCTCCTGTGGGGTCAGCTTCAGGTGCTGGCAGCTTGTGCTGTGCTGGCAGGGCGGCCCGGGGCTAAAGGCTCTCTGGAAGTGAGGATTGCTGTTTCCAGAGATAAGGAGGAGAAGTGGGAGAGGGAGGCACGGCCAGGCTTTTCTGTGCCCGGCTCTCAGCTTCCTCCTCTCCCCAGCCCTGCAGCGGTGCACGGCACGGGAGCTGCCGGCAGCTGGAATCGCGCATTCCCTCAGATGTGTTCTCCTGCTAATGAAATAATGTAGGAGACATCGTTCCCCGTCACTTCCAGTTACTCCCCCCCGTACCAGAGCCTGCCAGCATTCCCCTCCTGCGCGAGGGTAACAAACCTCTGCTAAAAAGAAAGGCCATTAATAATAATTACCACAAAGAAATAAAAAAATAACCCTCTCTCTTTCTCTCTCTCTTTTAATGAGTCCTAAAAAAATAAAAGTTTCTTAATTGAAAAACTTTCTACTTTGGAGTCAGCTCCAGTGCTTCAGAGCAGCCCAGGCAGCACCAGCAAGAGAAGATGAAACAGAGGGATGGGTCAGACAGTGCCTGACGGGGGCTGAGGGACCGACCTCAAAGCCAGGGGCACACGGACACCACCACTGACATTCAAGGAACCACCAACAAAGCACTAATTGGATTGGAAGGAGGCGGCAGGTGGAGAGAACCAAGGGGAAAACAGCTTTGGAGCAAACATCATTAGGAAGAGAAGTTCAGGAGAGGAAGAGGAGCTGGTCCTGAGCACTAGATCCAGGCGGAGGGTGGCTCTCAGAGATCCCCCTGTGCACAGCCAGGATCAGCAGGCTGGGGCCTCTCCTCCTGCCTCTGCCTGGGGCTGCAGGGGCTCAGGGGATGCTGCCAGAGCAGGGCAGAGGCTCAGCCATGGTGTGTGAGGATGCAGGTGGCTCCCTGAGCAGGACCTGTCCCCACAGGGTCTCATGCAGAGCCTGTAATTCAATTCTGAGCAAAACTCATGGAGGGCAGGCAGTAATCTGCTCTTGTCTGGAAGGGGCTGGAGGATTTATGAACCCACCTGTCTGGTGGTGAAGTGCCCTCCTGGTAAATGCTTTGCTAAGCGTGCGTTCATCTTCCTCCTGGCAGCAGCCGTGCAAGGACAGGCAGGGAGAGCAGGAGAGGGAGCGGGGAGGGAGGGACAGCAGGAACATGAACCTGGCTGGACCAGGAATGAACCACTGTTCATTCACTGTTCACCCTACAGGGTGACAAGGGCCCCCAGGACAATTAATTTAAGCTGCTGCCCTGGTGCAGGAAGGCAGAGAGCCACGAGCCATCCGCACGCCTGGCACCAGCTCATTTCCTTGTTCCAGCCCATAACTAACGAGCTAAAGCTTCATCAGCCGGCCAGACGGGCCCCACCGCTGGAGCATCCACTGTCCCCATCCCAGGGGTGATGGAGAATGGCCACGGCCACGTCACCCCAAAGCCCCAGGGTTCATTTCCTGCCGCCCTGGTTCCCGTGCGCGGTGGCCGCTCCTCCTGCGGCGCTCGCAGGCTGGCAGCAGCCCAGCCCTGGGCAGAAAACGCTTCCACTGAGCCTTGATTGATGGCCTCACATTTGGCTCCTCACCCGCTGGGTTAACGAGCCGTGGGATCCAGGATGTGGCAGCGTGCTCTTCCCCACGGCATCGCCTCTCTGCCCGCGGGTGACCCTGAGGGGACGCTCCAGCCCCGTGTGCCCGCAGTGGAGAGCCCTTGGCAGCCCACCCTGCTCCCTGGGCACTGTGCTGGGGAGCTGGGGACGGCTGCAAGCGCTCAGGACACCTTCAGAGAGCCGGTGTTTGGATGACAGGGAGATCCAGCATGGGCTCAGCACCTGGACACTCTGGTGTTTCCCTCCCACCCCTTTCCACATTTCCAGTTTTGTGCCCTTGCTTGTTACGGCCCAATTACAGCACAGGCCAGACAGAACCACCAGAAGCCCAAAGTGCCCATTTCATTATCTTTATGCAGGCAAATGTTTTTCTCTGCCAACACCCCCCCGCTGCACTGGCCCTCGGAGTGGCTCCACAGATCAGACATTATCATCATTGGGATAAATGATGTAAGGAAGGAAAGGGATACAACAGTCTGTGACAAAGTTACCATCAGGCTCTGCCTCCCAAATTGGCTCAGAGAAATTAGCAGGAAGGAAGGAAGGATCAGACAAAATGATAAACCCGCTTACCTGCTCATTAATTTAATCTCTTCTTTTTTCCTCCCCTCTTTCAGCCTTGTGCTTTCTGTAACTGTAGTGAACAGCAAAGTCCTAGATGAAAGAGAGACGACATCTGGAAGCCCAAAGATTAAAGGAGAGTTTTTAGGATTAGCCTTTGATTATTATTTTTTTTTTTCTTTTTTGTCTTTGAGTTGTGGTGATTATTGCTGCTCCTCTCCGAGCAATCCTTCTGGGTGCATCTGAGGAGCACATGGGCTCTCCAGCAAGTTCTGGGTGTTTTTCCAAGGACACAGCAGCAAACGTGCATTCCCCCCAGGACAGGGAGTGTTCCCCTTGGGCAGGCAGTGTGCTGGCACTTTGCAGGGGTGGCAAAGCCGCTCCCAAATCACTCGGGATCGGATTTATGAAGCAGGACCTGGCTGGGGATGGCAGGAGAGCCTGGCCCAGCCAGGCAGCAGCCCTGGGGCAGGAGGGCTCCTTCCTTCAGCACAGGAATGTTCCTCATTTGGAACAGCTTTTTCCTGTTGAATCAGGCTTTTGAGTTGTGTCTGGAAAGCAGGCCGAGCCCAAAGGAGGGCTCTGGAGCTGACTGTGCCGTGCCAGTGGGTGCTGTGCCCCAGCAGGCACAGGCAGGGTGAGGAGGGTGACTCCCCCCAGCTGCACGCCCCCACGGTGGCCAGGCAAAGCCAAGCACCACCGGCTGATCAGCTTTTGTTTTGCCAACATCCTTGGAGTGTGTCCAAAGCCAGCACCAAAACAAACAAACAAAGCAAGCGAAGCTGCAAACCCTGGTGAATTTCCTTCCTGGAAAAGCAAACTATTTCCTTGCTAGGGAAAACAAGTGCAGGCAATTGCTGGGAGCCTGGAGCAGCACCTGCCCAGCACAGCCCAGCTCAGCTCCCGTGTCCTCGCTGCTCTCCTGCTCGCTGGTGCAGCGGGAGCCGCGGCACCGGATCGATGGAGCCTCGAGACGCAGGGGAGGCTGTGCTTTGTGTGATTTATGATCTCACAGCCAGCCTCAAGTGCTGCGGTTGGGCTCAGGCTGTGCTGGCGCTCGGTGAGCAGCCTCCAATTAGGTGACCCCCCAGGTCTCCCTATTGATTTCGGGGGGAAGGTGTACTTTTCTCATTACACCTTTGGCAGCAGCGCCAGCAGGGCTGGGGCGGGAGGCCCTGGCAGGGGAGAGGCTCTGGAGTGCAGTTCAGGGGTCTCAGGTGGCCTGGCAGGGTGGGGGTGCACACAGGATGCTCACCAGGCATCGCCCCCCTCTCCCAGGGCTGGGAGAGATGGGCAGCGATGGGTTCCAGCCCCCCCTCACCACCCTCACTCCTGCTCGAGATGTCCCCAGCTGCTCAGGGCCGGAGCAGGCTGTGGTGTCACCTCTGCTTCCACGACAAGTCCCCCACTTGGAGCCTGGGAGTAAAAAGTTCATTTCTCAAGCAATGCTGCCTCCCCCTCGCTCATTAAACAAAGGAGGGGGAAGAGCCTGAGAAGACAGAGTTCCTAAATTAAGCAGCGCAGTTTCCTAACGAATGCCCTTCATGTTTTACATAATAATATAAAGCTTTTTTCAGAGACAAGAGCCTCCTACATCAAAGATCCCTCTCTCCCATTCTGAACTTTTGCGCCCTTCTCCTTGGAATTACTGTGGAAATACCTAAAGAGAGTTTGAGAGCAGCTCGAGAGCACATCTGGAACAAGGAACAGGGCTGACCCTGCTCAGCAGGAGCCTTCCTTGGGCTGTGAGTGCCCACAGAGAGAGGAGGAATTGCTGGAGCAGCCAGAGTGACCAGGACAGGGAGCTCTGTGTCCCCCTGAGCTGACATCACCCCTGGGGAGAGGTGGCTCAGGGGAGAAGGTTGCATTTGATTCTGCAGTCTCCAAGCTGGGATGCTTTGCACCGTGGGCTCTGCAAACGCAGCGGGACAGGCTCCAGTGCCCGTATTTACCCTGCTCCCAGGCCAGCCTGGAGCGCTTCGGGAGCTCAGTGTGGGGTGATGCCAGAGGGCCGATGGTCAAGGGCATCATCCACAGCAGCCCTGCCAGCCCTTCCTTGGCTGGTGTGGGTACAAAGCTTCGCAGTGAATTTGGGATTTCCCTTTGGAGGAGCACGTGCAGGACTCGGGAGGGCTGAGACAGCTCAGGAACAAGAACTGCACGGTTTAGTGACATGGTGGTGTTCAGTCAGAGGCTGGACCCGATGTTCTTTTACAGCCTTAATGATTTTGTGGCTCTGTGATCTCTCCAGACAAGATGAGGACTCTCACTCCTTCCCCTTCTTCCTTCTCAGCATGTGACATCCTTTGGGGGAGCCTGGCCAGCCCCAGCTCCCGGGGAGCGAGGCTGTGCTGGGCTCCCGAGCCCCCTGTGCCCCGTGCCGGGATCTCTGTGCCTCGTTCCGGCCGGATGAGCTCCGCCACCGCTGCTCTCGGCTCTGCAAAATGCAAATTGCTGCGCTTGACCTCCCCGGGATAACGAGGGGAAACCTCCCCTAATTAGCACTGCAGTCTGTGGGTGAGAGAAACCAAATGTTGACTGTAGAGCGGCTGCACTTACTGTAAATTCCAACATATGCTGTGGAAAAACGCCGCCCAAATAAGGCTCGGGAAGCACGGGGTGTTTAAATAATAATGAACACTCGGTGTTGTTTATTGCAGAACACAACGGAATCAAGGCAAAGCTGCGGTGCAGCGTCCTCCTCCCTGCCAGGACACCCTGGAGGGCCGGCGGTGGAGGCACGGCAATCCCGGGGACACGGAGAGGACAGCAGCAATTCCAGGGGTGTGCGCACAGCATTTACAGGCATCAGTGACAAGAACCCTGGTGTCCTTTGAGGGGACCCTGCGGGACGGCTGCAGCAAGGATTTGCAGCTGGTGAGGTGTTCTCCACCGCTCAGAGCTTTCTGCTGGTCACTTGCAGTAGTCCAAAGCATATAAAATATTTATTTGCTCCTAATTAGGTGTAATTACCACTTAACCTGGAGGAGGGATGTACCCAGCGTGCCCGGCAGCTCGATACACTCGCAACTGAGCAGCCTCCACCGCAGATAATTAAAAGAGAAGGGCTCCTGCCTGCCTGGCCTCGGCAGCCGAGTGTTTGTTTTAGTCAGGAGAACCTCGTGTGCCTGAGCTCATCCCAGGGCTGCCGGCTCCTCTCAAGGCTCCCGAAAGCCAAGCCGGCCTCATCTCAGCCGCAATTTCCATGTGATTATTGCCTCCTCGGAAATTCAGCTCAGGCTGTCCTTCCCTCGCCTGGTTCCAGCCTCCAAGGAGACCCGGCTCCAGCCCGGGGGATTGGGATCACGGCTGCTCCTCGCTCACTCCTGGCCTCATCCCTCATCCACCCTGCTGAGCTGGGAGGATGAGAACAAACTGTTTATAAGATGCCCAATTAACGTTTCTGCTATCAGAGTCATGCCAGGAAAAGGAAACAGGCTCATTTCACACAGCCACTGCTTCCCTGCTATCACTGTGTCCCACAGAGCACCAGGGACCGCTTCTCCTGTCCTGAGCTCTGCCCGAGCCCCAGCTCCAGGGGGACAGCAGGGTCACCCACACTGACCTTTTCCATCCCCCCTCCTCAATGACAACAGCAAGAACGGCCTGAGTGTCAAGGCCTTCGGCATGTTGGGGCAGGGCTGTGCAAAGAACACTCATGGAGAGCGATGTGTGCGCACAGGGAACCTGCGGCAGCGGCCTGGAGCAGCCTGTGGAGCTCAGCAGCTCCTGGGCCCTGGAGGAGCACGTTCCAGCCCTGTGCCATGCCCCGTGGCAGGCTGCTCCCGTGGGGTGGCACGCAGGGCACAGGCTGCAGCATCGCTCGCTGCGGGACACCCGGGCAGCCCTGCGGGACAAACCCAGCGCCGGCTGCTGCCCACACACAGAGGGTTTGCAGCCTTGCTGGACCCAACAAACATCTGTTCTTCCCCTCTCCCAGCCATCAATCACAGCTGACAGCCTTCCCCCCATGGTCAAGAGTGTGCTTTTCACCTTAATTTCTTAGAAGGGCTTTTTCACCGGCTGGAAACTCATAAATACCACTTTGCAAGCCCAGGTAGGGCTAATGATGGATGGCTGCTTCACAGATATGCCAGAGGCTGTGACCTAATTGTCACCGAAATACTTCCTGATTAACTAATAGATAAAACCCAATTAAAACTTCTGCTCTTCCCAAAGTCCCTGGCACCTACTATTTCTCCCCTTCTCAAACTCTGCCTTAAATTAGATCCAGCCTGACTGGACTGCTCTGAACAGATGAGGATGCTCTGCCCACCACCTTCCCTGCAGCCATGGGGGCTTTCATGGGAGTCCCAGTGGCCCTAAAGAGGGATTTGCAGCCAGTCAAAGGTTTAAAATCGCTCGGGAAAGGTCCCTGAGGATAGTGACAGCAGGAAGGGCACACTTCATTCCCCCTATTTTACTTCTTCCTCCACTGAATAGAACTGCTGCAGAGAAAAGCTGCTTTAGCACATTTGCTTTGATGTGCAACAAGTTAATTACTGTAATAGGTTCATCCTTCTCCCCCAGTATTGAATTCTGTAGAACATCCATATAAATTGTCATGGAGTTCCTCATTTTGACTCCATTTATTCTCTAAGCAGCCCTAGCAAGAGTGTGCCTGCAGAAGGATTTGTTCCAAATCCCATGTACCAGGTGTATCCACTATTATTTGCTCTCTCGATACTCATCTCAATCCACCTTTGGAGGGATGGGGCTGGTGGATATCTCATCCTGCACCTGCTGGGCTGGGGGGCCATTCCAGGGAGCACGAGGCTCCCAAGCACAGCTGGCTCCTGACCTGGGACCCTCTTCCATCCGCAAGGGAAACCCAACTCCTCATCTCGTGTTTTCAGCAGCAGCCCCTCTGCCCAGGGTGTGGATCCTGGTCCAGTCCAGCAGCTGGAGCAGAGCTGCATGCCCGTGTCCAGGCAGCTCCCGGCTCACCCAGCACTGCCCGCAGCTGCCCTGGCACCCGCAGCCCGCAGCCCGGGACCCCCAACCCCTCCCGAGGCAGAGCTGGGAGCCCTTCCAGCACCCTGCTGAGACCAGGACACCACACTGTCACATTCCCTCCCATTTCCTGCCCTTGGTCCAGCTCCGCGGGCGGGATCAGCCCGGCCGGGCTCCTCGCAGGGCTGCAGCCTCGGCAGCGCCGGGGAGATGGGGAGGGAGAGGCCGGAGCTCCGCAGCTGCCGGGCAGCGCTGGCACATCAGCTCCGAGACA